GCACCCTTTAGGGACCTTTTGACCAGGACAGATTATATACTGTATATGTTTTCTATAGCTTTCCTTTTTTTCATCTGTTTGCCCCTTTCCCCACCCCTTTCCCTTTCCCTTTTTTCTTTTTCTCTCTTCTTTTCTACATTCCTGTTTGATTTGTGCAAGAATTCAGATAGATCAACTGATAATGTTTATTACTTACTAGTTGAACATTCTCTGTGACTCTGGTATATGTAACATTGTCATGATATTTCTTTTGTCTTTTTCCTGGAATGTATATATTGGTTTTTTTTTTTTGGTCTTTTCTGTAGTGACGTATGCCAAAATAAAGATTTTTCAGAAATGCATGTCCAAAAAACTTCTGAATTCCATACTAAGATGCTCCCAGTGCCCTTGTGTGACGGATGTAGACCATCTCTTGTCAGCTCAATGTCAGACCACCTGATGTCATCATGACTAACATAACCAAAACCTTCAGCTTTGAACCAATCCTTTAACAGTAGCACCAGGTAAACACCTAACTTCCTTTGACACTTCCACATGATTTCCTAAAGAAACTCCTCTTACAATTGAATCACCAACAAGAAGATGACTTCTCCACAACACTTGCCTGGATTGAAGCCTTCAATGGAACAGAAAATTGTACCATACTTGTCGTAATTTTCCTTTCCTGGTGCCTATCCATGGCAGCATACCTGTGATAAGCTCCAACTTAGACTCCTCCCTCAGGACCAGTGAATATATAAAAAGAAAAGATTAAGGTACCCCCAGCATCTGTAATATAGAATACTTTTGATGGGTGGACGTATCTTGGACCACAAGCAAATCTACGTCCCACCTCTTGTCTGTTGCCACAGAGATTGCTGCCACCTGCACCTTTAAGGTGCCCAGGCCTAAATCTAGGTTGAGGCCTGCCTGGAAGCAGTCCAGAAGCTGAGAAGTGGAGGGCAGATCTGGATTGAAGTTCCTGCTAGCTAAAAAAGCTTTAAACTTGTTCCAAACCCTGTCATACATATTAATTGTAGAGGGTTTTCTGGCTTTGAGTAGAGTCAAAATAACCTCCGAAGAACATCTAGGGCCTGGAATCTCTGCCTTTTAATAACTATATGTGAAGATTCAATTTGTGAGGATTAAGATGTGTGTGCTGATTCTTACACAGAAGAAAAGGTATGAGTGGGATTTTTATTGGTGAGCAAACACTGAGAAACACCGCTACAGGAAACCATGGACATCTCGGCCAGTATGGTAGTACTGCTATCACTGTTGTGACTTCCGTCAGAAGTCTCAAAAATGGATATAGCTTGCCCAGATGATTGAGAGAAAATCTTTTCTCTGTCCTTTTCCATTCCCCTTCTATGACGTCCCTGATTTCATCCATCAGAGGAAAGAAGGTGATTTGCTTTTTACGAAATGGGAAGTAGCTTTTTGATTTCCTTGCTGGGGAGTCAGTTTCTTCCCAACCAATGGCAAGCTTGATTGCCTGGCCATAAGGTCGAACCAGGGAAAAGCAAAAGCCTGAAGGATCTGATTCATCCGAGGAATCTTCTCCAGATTGTTTAGATGGCTGGTCCGCTATTGGGTGAGAGAGTTTCGCCCGAGGATGGGCCTGGTAGCAGCGCATATGATGCCTTCTCCTGAGGAAGCTGTGATGATAGTTGTGACGAATTAGCTGCTACAAGTTCTGAGAGTGAATCTTTGACCACTTTTTTTTTGTAGCTCCTCAACCTGCTGGCCCTCTGTACCTCTTTCCTCTGCAAAATGCCTGAAACAGTCTCTGCAGACTAGCTTGACTAGAGAGGTGGCTTCAATTGCCCGGAAGTTTTGAGGTCTAGGGCTTGTGGAATGCGAGGATCGTTATCTTTTGACAGAAGAATGTGCCCTAGTCGAAATGGTATCTGGATCTGGAAGATTGAGCTTGGCTCGGGCTTCCCTTGTTGGATTCCTCATGGCACCTGGATGTCCTCTTAGACCTATTCTGGCGTACAGGGCTGAAATACATAAATGTACCAGCATAAGCGCACTCTTTTTTTTTTTTTACCTTTGAAGTAGAGGAGGGTCTTGTTCGGCGGTGAACGGCTCATCTCAGGCAAAGGGCAAAATGAGCAGCTATAAGACAGGAAGAGGATTTAGATTACTGCATTTTCCCCTTTTTTTCTTTTTTTTTGGAAGAAAAAAGGAAAGATAAAAGAGGATGCATGGGAAAAAAAGAAGAGCAGGAGAGGGAGAGAAAAAAACAAAACAAAAGAGAGGACGAAAGGAAAAGAAAGAGAGGGAAAAAAAAGAAGAAGACTTACCGCCGGTGAATAGTGGCAATATTTTCAGGAGCTCTCAACAAGGCCAACCTACACCAAAGCCACGAGAGGCCACACTAAAGCTCCCAGGACTAAATAATGAAAGGGGGGGTAAAGGGAAACAAATTCCTCTCCCATCCTAGAATGAAAAAACTAGGAATTTAAGTAAGGCCACAAATAACCTGTTTGCCCATAGCCAAGATGGCTGTCGTAGCATCGAGCCGCACCACGCATTCGTGAACTGGCAGCCCTAGGACCCCACCTACCAGCTCAGACATGGCCAGCATCTGCACATGCGCACTGCACCCGGGAAGATGCCGGGACATTCAGAAAAGGCGGAGATGGGAGCGTGCCAGCTCTGTAGGGGAGCAAGAAAAAGAAAGGAATTAAACAAAGGCAAAATAGAGGGGGGGAAAGAAAAGTATCTGGGGAGAGACAGCCAGATCAAAGAAATGCAGCAAATAAACAGAGGAACGGAGAAGGAGTGGGAGAGTACATGGAATGTCATGGAGAAAGGACAGGAATAGCTGCTCCTAAGCTCTAGCGAACACCGTGAACGTATTTGCAGACATCATGCTTCTGGATGAACGACAACTGCTGCTGTCCCAAAAGACCCCTAGAAGGGACTCCCTACCTTATCAGTGCCTTTAACTGCCCAAGAGTAGGGACTGCGACTGGGAGTGACTGAACCCAGGCGGAAGTTGCTCACGACAGAGGTAAAGACAATCAACTTACATTCACTGACCATACATTCACATGCACCAGGAAAATATAAAATTGTATCATACTTACCAAAATTTTCCCCTGGTGCCTATCCATGGCAGCATACAATCCCGCCCTCGATATTCTATATTACAGATGCTGGCGGTACCTTAATCTTTTCTTTTTATATATTCACTGGTCCTGAGGGAGGAGTCTAAGGTGGGGCTTATCACAGGTATGCTGCCATGGAGGCACTAGGAAAGAAAAGTTACTTTTGGGAAAGGAACCTTTCCCTACCACCAGTCACTTTCCCTTTCTCTCTCCTTACTCTACCACACAAAAGTGCACCAAAACCCAGGGGCAGAGACTTATAAAGACCCTGCTGATCAAAGATGGCCACCAGGGATCACATGAATACAGCATAGCCAACCAGCAGGCTGCTCCATGATCCAAGAAACAACAGAGAAACCAAGATTCCCCTGACTTACTCTCCAGGCTGTGGTAACACTCAGTTGAGGGCCCCCTACAGTGGAGTAAACAGTGTACTTGCCTGCAAGCTGGTGCAGTTTTTGTTAACTTTGGTAGGAGAGCTATTTTGTATTAAAACACTTCTGCTAGTCTATTACATACTGTATGCTGTAGAATGTTATATAACTGCAGCCATTTAAATCACAGAACAAAATGAGCATTTTCTAAAGCTTAACAAGAGAAAAGCTAAGTAATAAACCCTAAAAAGCACAGGTGTTAAAATGTTTCAGCCCTCTTGGTGCCACAGGATGATAAAAACACAGAGGATGCAATATAAATAAAATAAACAAATCTGTTAACAATAGGCTCAATATATGAAATCAAAGTAAATCTTTTAACCTATATGAAAAAATCCAAAAATGGACTACTAATAAAAATCTTTGCCCTGGGTCCATTATTGCATTAAAGTGCATTTAACCCAAAATCAAAAATGTAATATATTTCAACTTGACAGTCCTTAGTTGAGGTGACTAACTTTTTTTCAAGCTTACTCCTTAACCATCCCCTCGTCCGGCCGTTGTATATAAACGGCCGGACGGTGGCAATGCAGGGGCCCAGGGAGCGCGCAGCACCGCGATCCAGTGCCCGCTGTGTCCTCCGGAACACCAATCGTCGTACGGGACCTCTCTGCGAGGTCCCGATCATGTGATCACTGATTGGCCAATCAGTGATCACAAGCAGAGTAGTAAGCAAGATGTCACTTCTGACATCATTGCTTACAACGTGTGAAATCTGGGAATGATCATAGAGGTCACATGGTACAAGGCTATTCACAACAGCCTTGTACCATGTGACAAGCTGTGACCAATCACAGCTCACTCAGTAGTTCTCAATGGCTGCAAGAATGCAGCCAGAGAGAAGGAGAAATGATTGCTTTTTACAGCCTTAATGGGTCTAAAAGCAATAAGTGTAACAAAAAAAAAATTTGTATCACCCCCCACAAGTAGTACAGTGTCACCATGGTGACATTGTACTGCTAGGGTGACAGAATATATTATATTATATATATATATATATATATATATATATATATATATATAAAATAAAAAAATGTAAAAAAAAATGTTTAAAAATTATAATTGTTGGTTATAAACTAATTTGGGTTTTTTGTTTTTAACTAAAAAGATAACACAATAAATTTTGGCCAAGATTTATGATGAAATATTATTTATTTGCAAAATGTTATACGAAAAACACTTTTTTTCAAAATTTTTGGACTTTTTCATTTACATAGCAAAAAAATTAAAAAGCCCAGTGGTGAATAAATACCACCAAAATAGAGCTTTAACTGTCTCACAAAAATCCTAAAAAATTCATATGGGTACAGTGTTGCATGACCGCGCAATTGTCATTCAAAGTGTGATAGCACTGAAAGCTGAAAATTGGCCTGGGCAGGATGGGGGAAAAAGTGTTCGGACTTGAAGTGGTTAATTTTTATCTGGTAACCCTGTCAGCAACACACTTTCTGTCCTAAGGTGGCAAACCTCAGTCATATTATAGCTATGGAGGAACAGAGAAAAACATTCCCATATTTTTCGCTCCATAAGACGCACCTGACCATAAGACGCACCTAAGTTTTAGAGGAGGAAAACAAGAAAAAAAAAAACAATGGACTGCAGACATAGTACAGGAGATAACCAGAGACTACGGACCTAGTACAGGAGATGACCAGAGACTGCAGACATAGTACAGGATATGACCAGAGACTGCAGACACAGTACAGGAGATGACCAGAGACTACAGACACAGTACAGGAGATGACCAGAGACTGCAGACATAGTACAGGAGATGACCAGAGACTGTGGACATAGTACAGGAGATGACCAGAGACTGCGGACACAGTACAGGAGATGACCAGAGACTGTGGACACAGTACAGGGATGACCAGAGACTGCGGACATACTACAGGAGATGACCAGAGACTGCTGACATACTACAAGAGATGACCAGAGACTGCGGACATAATACAGAAGATGACCAGAGACTGCGGACACAGGACAGGACATGACCAGAGACTGCAGACCTTTGGGGAGCAGGTACCCGAGTTTGACAGGTACTTGCTCCCACTTCCGTGGCGTTGTCCTTCCCCCTCCCTCCCCATAGTCTTCTGGGACATGTGACAGGTCCCAGAAGCAGGGGCGGACTGACCATTTGGAAACTCGGGCACTGCCCGAGGGCCTGGGGTCAGTAGGGGGCCCCATGAGATGCCCCTGGTACCTTTTTCATAGGCTTTTTTGAGTTTGGACAAGGACCCAGGGGCCCCATGATCCCCTATTGCCCGGGGGCCCCATAAGTTGTCAGTCCGCCCCTGCCCAGAAGACTACAGGGCCATTCACAAAGTTCAGCGCTTCTCGCGCATGCGCATTGGGCACACACGGCCGGGAAGCCACAAACTATCACAGCCGGGTGCCCACACTAAAGATGCCGGCACCGGGGAGAGAAGAAGGCGAGGACACCACTGGACCGAGGAACAGGTAGGACCGCTGGAGGTTTTGCAGGTTCTGCTGCACAGAAGAGCCAAGCGGCCAGCCAGGTATTCTAACACGTCAGTGATGGGGGAAATACCGGGCCGGCAGCTCCATATGGCGCACAGACATTTTCCCCCATTTTTTTGGGGTAAAAAAGTGTGTCTTATGGAGCGCAAAATATGGTAGTTGATTATATTCCTTAGGCATGGAAGTTTTCAGTTTAGCTATGAAAAGCTAGTAGCATATACTGAACAGGTACTACATAACTAATACATGTTTAGAAACTTATTTCCAATAATAAAGTATGAAAACATTCTAGATAATTTATTCAGCCTTGGGTTATAACATTTTGTATTAAGTGTTAATTAGATTTAATCAGTGAGGGATAGAACTCACTAGGGTACTCTGTTTCCATAGATGTGATATTCTGGATTTACTACTATGAAATGCTACATGTCCTTTATTTGCACATGATGAAATATTAATTTAATCAGACGACCAACCAAATGCTATGGCTTTATTAGAAAAGTCTGTTTATCTCTCGTGACTGAACATTAACTTATTCTAAAGTCCTTCGTATTAATTTCCCTAGCCACCTCATAAAGTTGTTGGAAATTAATATTCATTTTCAGTAAAGTAAAGAATGGATATGTAGGGTAATAAAACAAAGATACTGGATAAATGAATTGAAGTTATTGCGATGAGAGGGTTAAGGAGACGTTCTGCATTAATTAGGGATTTTATGAAATATTTGATTTAGGTTTTTCATGATGGTGAGATGGCTGCTTTCTGGAAGTTTCTATGCTTGAAATTTTTATGTATCCGGGTATCTGGGTTCATATTCTTTTAGTCTCTTCAGATAGCTTTAGGATGCTAGGCTTTGGCACTGAACATTTCACCTAGGTCTTATTTGCAGCCATTTTTGAAGTCATTTCAAGTATGACAAACATCTGTCTCCCCTTACCTAATCTGTGGGTTATTCTGTACTCTGTAATTCAGCATGGCTGTGTGTAGTTCCATCCACACAGCTGGGCATATCCTCTTTTCCCAGAGATATGTAAATGGCGAGACCCATCTACCATCATGGAAAATAAACCCATAGATCTCAATGGAGGACATGTGAGGTGATGTCACCATACTTGTAATCTACTGATACTTCCTCCAGGCCAATAGACTGCATCTGGTGGAATAGTCTGCAGGAGGCTGTGTATATGCAAAAGCAATCTACTGATTGTGATTGCAATGCTTTGCAGGCTCCAATGTAAACTAAATAAATGCATTCTTCTATCACCTTTGGTGAAATTGTTTTGGAAAAGCTAAACATGCCTTTAAGTTTGGGTTATGAGAATTTTCAGTACATATTACATCCCTTTTTAGAGAAAAAGGTTGTATTAGCACAAAGTATAAATGTATGTATTTCTATATGGCTCAATTAACGAAATAAACCATAAGCAATGGTGGAAGCAGTGGCATAGTAAAATACTTTTAGGTGTGGGTTTGTTCTGTTTCTCTGCTGGGCCCTTTCTTAACAAATGGCCAGGGCACTAACGGTTTGTTGTTTGGAAGGAAGAGGGAAAGAGACCTGAAAGAATACACACAACAAAGAGAAAAGGAAGGAAGAGAAAAGAGATGCAATTGTGGACTTGGAGTCTCATTCTCTTTTTGTTTTTGAACAAGCCCCATAGCATTTACCTAAAGTCTACATGGTTACTCTGAAGCTTTTAGGACATTAGTAATGCCCATGGTAAGAACACAGACAACAATAAAAGCAGAAGGGTCTAACCCCTTACCCAGTCACAAAACACCAACACTTTTGAAGTTTCCACAATGCAAGTTTATTTCTTGATAGTATGACTTTTATCCTATACTTGCTATGAAGAAATACATTTGCATAATGGAAACGTCAAATGTGCTGATGTTTTGTAGCTGGTGTATATTTAGGAGTGTTGCCATCTTGTGGCTTGTAACTGTGTACACTTGGGTAAAAGTGTTGTCCTGCACTGCCTGCAGGTGCATGGTTTCATCTCTGAATACATGGTGAGTTGATCATGTGACTGTTACCCACTGTACTCAAAATTATATACCTGACGCCAACATAGCAGCATACCTGTGATAGAGCTTCCCCTCAGGTATACTGCCCTGGACTGGCTTCAGAAATAGAAAAGTATGGTAAGTATTTGATACAATTTTCAGTTTTTTCTCTATGTGTTCTCTTTAGAGATATTTGTCCTCACATCCAGTCCCTGTGTCACAACAGAAAGTTTAAGAAAATCTTTGCAAAGGGAACATAGCAATAAAAAATTTACAAAGGTTCTTTCCCCTGAAAAAAAAATCTCTCACTGCAGAATAAAGAGAAAGCGTAAAGGTTTTCAGAGAGTCATAGAACTGGAACGATAAAAAGCTGCAAAAGGAGAAGCACACAGGTGGAGTTTAATATATGGCTTAATTCCTTGTTGAGTAGACTTCCTCAGCACTTAGTTAGTTAAATACCCCTTTCCTGAGAGATACATATACACTAACTTCTCATTCTGTAAATGCCTCGCAGTCATAATAACCTTCTTGCTTTAGTTATACAAGTCAGAAAAGGCTTGAAAATAGTAAATTCTGATTTTGTTTTAAACTGAGACCAAAGGGGCAACATAGCTTCCAAGTAACTAGCATTTTTAGCAAGATATCAGCTGCACAGGGGAGAAGGCGAGCACACTGAACCCTGCAGTAATCCACTGTGTGTTACAGCCAAACAGTCCCGCTCTGCAGTCATGATGTGGGGGTGGATTGGGTTTTCTCTTTGCTATTGGGGGATGTCTCTTTTCTGGATTGAGATGTCTCTTTGCAGGATCGGGCTGTCTCTTTGCAGGTTAGGGATGTCTCTTTGCTGGATTGGGCTGTCTCTTTGCTATATGGAGATGTTTATTTGCTAGGTTGGGATGTATCTTTTCTTGACGGGGCTGTCTTTATGCTGAATTGGGCCATCTCTTTCCCATATGGGGCCGTCTCTTTGCTATATGGGGCTGTCTCTTTTCTGGATGGGGATAAAAAATGGGATATTTCATGCTGCCATCTCAGAAGGAGCAAAGATGCACCATATAAAACAGATGTTGCAGAAGAGCCTCTTGTCTGCATTGCCAGAAAACGACAGTATCCCCACTTATGCCCAATGTGCTTTCGAGCCTCAGATCTCTGAAAGAGAAGCAGGGATTGCAGACTGCTAGGGTCCATTGATGATGCAGACACTCTTGAAATTCCCTTGCAGCCATTGTGCTTTCTGAAAGGGCCATAGCAAGTGGTTTTGTAAATGTGACAAAATTAGCCTGTCCCTTGACACTGAGGGCTGGCACACTTTCATAAAAATGTACCAATTGTGGATCAGAAATTATTCCAAATCTCCTCAGCTGATGCTTTTTACTAAATTGTTCCTTGTAATGTAGCCCAAAAATAAAATTTGGCCTGCCACCATTACATTCTACTTCTATCTCTGCTCGCCTGCCATCATTATTAGCTCCTTCCTCCTCCGTAGCTTACCACCATTACCAACTTCTGCCACCTCTGTTGTACTGTAACCATTACCAGCTCCTTCTACCCTGCCACAAACCAGCTCCTTACCTCTCTATTGAGTGCCACAACTACCATTTCATATTACCGATATCAACTCTTGCCATATCTGCTGGACTGCTACCAATACCAGCCCCTGCTACCTCTCCTGACCTGATGCTGCCACCATAATCAGCTCCTGCCTCTATTACTCCCTCCTGCCACCTCTCCTGGCTAGTCATTGTCACCATTACCTGCTCCTACCACCATTACCAGTATCTGCCACCTCTGTTGAACTGCTAACAGTGCCTGCTCCTGTCACCTCTGCTAGCCTGCCACAGTTACCAGCTTCTACACTCTGTTGGCCTTCCTCCATTACCAATTTCTTCCACCTCTCTTAGCCTGCTTCTGCCACAATTTCCAATTCCTGCCACCTCCGTTTGCCTTCCACTGCCACCATTACCAGATCCTGACACCTCTCTCAGCCTGCTGTTGTCATCATTATCTGCTCCTTCCACTTCTCTTGGCCAACAACCATGATTGCCTCCTGCAAATTTTGCCAGTCTGCCACCATTTCCATATCTCATGACCTCTCTTGGCCTGCCACTGCCACCATTACCACCATTACCAGCCCCTGCCACCTCTGCTGTATTGCGATCATTACCAGCTTCTGATACCTCTGCTGGACTGTCATCATTACCAGCTCTTGCTGTAATGTCACCTTTCTCTTAAAAGTGTCACCCATAATGTTTCTGCAGATTGGTTAAGTTTAAAATTTTGTAATGTTTGCTGTAGGGCAAATCATGCTCTGTTTCTCCAGCCTATTCTAGTGCTTCACTACTCACATATATTTGTGGCTATTGTCTATCTAGAATAATACACATTAATGTTTAATTTAAGATAGAATCTGCCCCTTACATTGTGGTCTAATCAAGCTGCTTACATACTCTCCAATAGTTGTACAATATTTCTGGATGTTGTCTGTGAAATATTACAATATAATTTTTATTTCTTT